CCAAATCTGCTCTTGATCCGCATAAAGGAAGGAATCGATTTAGCCAGATTTAATGAATTGCTTGTCTGTATGCCAACAATTTTTCGTAACAAAACTAATCGTTTTTATCGAGAGTTTTTTTTGGAAGTGTAGGAATGAAGTTTAATTGAAATCTGAATAACTAATCTGAAATTTGAATATAAATTTTAAAAAATAGTAAGTAAATTGTAAGTACTTGATTGGTTATCCTTTAAGCCTTTATTAAGCATTGTATAAGAACAAAAGGAGTGAAATCTGTACGTACTCGTATTTCGCCTGGATTCTGTATGTATTTCGCCTGCATTCTCGCCTGGCCAATATTGCAATGGTAGAGAAACAAATAGTCGCAAGATTACCCGGTCGACCGCCGAATAAATGGCGTGAATGCTGGACTCTACAGAAACATGATAATGTGATATGTCATAATTTTACACAAATATATTCAATAAATTGTTGTAACAAAACAGGATTTAATCCTATATTAAAGAACAAAGCAATTGACAAGTCTTGATTGTCACCTATCCAATAACGATAAGGGGTATCGTTATTGGGTAGGTTTTCAAATCGGATAAGAATTTTATTTAATAATTATTGTTGAAGTTGTTGGTCAGAAATATAAAAAAAATATTATACTTATCTGTTTTGTCACTTTTTGGATCTCGCGAGAAACATCTGTTATTATAGATTCTTAGTTCCTTAATTTTTTATTCCATATTCGGAATGTTTTCAGAATATCTTATTCCAGAATATAATGTCTATATCCAAACTTTGTACAGTCTACGAGTCTTTTTTATTTTTCCAATTGTACGGTCCACCTGAAATTTTTTTTTTAAATGGATTGCTATCGACATCTAACTATCATTTTTTTGTTTAAGTAGTATTAGACTCCAATTTTAATTAAAGAATAAACCTTCGCTCTTCATAGGGAAGTCAAATTTTTTAATATATAGCTTAAGAAGAAGTATAGGCTACCTTATTAAATTATTTAATTTTTAAATCTTAATTTGTTATTTAAATAAAATACAAATAATCTAATCTTTTAATAACAAATGTCTACGGATCATCTTTAAATTATTCTGATCTAATATAATTAGCAACGAAGCGCTCTGGTAACTCTGTAGTCAAAAAGAAATTTAATACTGTATAATTAGAAGATGCTGGAGAAGGAAAAAAATCTAATACTGGTCTGATAAAACATGCAATCTAGTAAAGATTTTTAAACAAGCGTCTTACAAGCACATCTTCATAATCGCTTAGAACTACACTTCGGGATGTATTTCACCCTTATCTACAGTCTCAATTTATTAATTATTTCTGTTCTATCTCTTGCTAATATTTCAGTTTCTTAAGTTCTTAAGACTTTATCGATAAAATTGTGCGTGGTTGGGGTTTGTATTTGATATGCACTACACTCTTTCCCAACATTTTTATCTGGGATCGAGTAACGTCAGTTTTTACCATAAAAGTTCTATGTATTTTTAAAAAACGTTTCTATTGGAAATCATGACAATTACTTGATACGAAGAATATGACTAAACAAAAGTTCTCTTCTTTTAAGTGACAGTTACATAATGTCATCAACATAAAAGCAACAATTGTCACAAATACCACATACGTCGCTGTCACACACTTATAGTGATGTTATTTTATATAGCTTTATTGTATTTAATTAATAGAATGCGACATCGTTTAAGCTGTAGAGATTTTCATGCCATCCGGAAAAGCAGATACTCATACTGTGATTGCAAAAGATAGAAGTGCAAGCAAGTGGCGTGCCTTATTTTCACCTCTGTATTTTTCACACCCACCTTGCAGGAAGTATTCACATCCCATTCCAGTTGCTCAAAAAGAAATAAAAGTATTCAGATGAATCGTGATGTTGTTTACGCCAACAATGAGACATAAAGCAAAAGCGAAGCAATCTAAATAAAGCACACTTGTGCTTCATATGTGTCACAGTTACAATGGCAATTACATCAACAATAGCAACGGCAAGAAGAACAACAGTGGAATAATAAGCAGAGCAGATAGCTTTGTATGTTTTCCCACATGTCATAGATAGTTACGTACCTTTGTTCTTGTATTTATTTATATGTTTCTAATTTTTTAGTGTGACGACAATAACGACATCCCTATCTAACTATGATACTATGGTTATTGGTACATTTTTATAGTGCAATAGAACACAATTTTCCGTTTTCCTGACAAAAGCAGTTTTATTATTGATTATTGAAAGAATGAGTAACTAAAGATATCAATTGAGAATTAAAGATAATTTCAAAGATAAGAGGAAGTAAAAGATCAAAAGAAATAAGTAGATGTGCTAAAGAAACGTATCACCACTCTAGAAAATATATTGGAAAACTTTTACATCATTATCATTTTAGAGTCTGACTTGACGACCTAAAAACGAAATGTAATGCGAGCATTCAATTCAATTTATGTACACTGCAAGGTCCAGATTATGTATATTCCTTGTTGAAAATAAGATTGGTGATAATTCATACACATACTTTACACAATATATTTACTAATGAGATGGAATTTCAGCCTTAACAGGTGTCATCTATTACACATCGATATGACTGAGGACATCCCTGTTACTTTCAAGCATATAGAAAAAAAATTAAGGATTATATTAGATCACTACTAACTAGAGGATAACTCATGTTTCGCTAACGTAACTCTAACGAGATTGCTGCAATAGGTAACAATAAAAAAACAATGTAATAAGATCTGATCATTTGATTTGAAATTCTATATGGACTATATCATATCATTATTATACCAATTAAGATTATCATCTGCACTATTGCAACGGATATAAGATTTGCCTTACTTTAAAATACTTTCTCATGTTTAAATAATTCATTTTGAAATGAAAAATTATATAGGTATATGCAATTATTAATTTTGCTGGTAAGTTCACTATTTGAAAAAGATTAATTATAGTACATTTTTTGAAAGTACTTAAATTAACATGTATTATCGACAATTTTTAACTAAATATATTGTTCTTTGGTCAAAGGGGGCTAACACAAAGCTCCTAGGAGCAAGATCACATTTTATTTTAAAATGCTAATGCAATTCTTACAGTTCTCAATCCAAGTCGTACCTTTCTCTATATTAGAACACTTTCAGTATAGCTTTCAAACACAGTCACGATTATAAATGATTTGTGGTTTGATTAAAACAACTGTTAGACAATAAAAAACCGAAAATTCTTCTGTGCAGTTCGTTGGCTTATTGAAATCGTAAAGGGGCGCGATGTTATTGCGTCGTTACTTTAATGGTGATGTATTTCGACCAGTAGTTTGTACAGAAGTTGTCACGACTAAGAGAAGATATAATACAACAATCATTTTCTATGCCTTAAAGACTTTGTGCTGAGGTTTGTTTCTTCATTGACCTGGAAGAAATAATGAAAGTGCATTCGTGGAGTTTTTTTTTATCTGATAGATCAAAGAAATATAATACCTACACAAAACTAACAATTATTTGTTTAACTCGCCTTTTCAAGGCCCTCTTGAGGACATCACGATAAGTAATGGATATATCCTAGCTTGAGTGTTTATAGTTGTAGATTATCAGAATGTAATCTAACCTTTATAGTTTTCAAACAGCTTGTTTTTGACATAATGGCATTATTGTTCTTTTTTTAACATTTTATTCAATCTGTGAGTACGTAGTAATTGCTATACATAATTAAACAAAGTTGAAAACATTTTTTTATTTGCTGTCAAACTATATAGACATATAAAATAATAGAAACGTTGAATACAATAGTCGATTTCAATAAAATCTATCGCGAAGTCGCACTGCACCTGATATCGACGTCGGAGACACAAAATTGTACTGTATTTTATATTGAAGAAAAATATTAAAATTTAAAGAAGAAAAAACGTAAATGAAGGAGAGGCTGCTTAATAACAAAAAATAACTCTCATTGGTACGATTCTGATATCTCGGGTATCCTGCTTATATAACTAATATTAGTAGGGACTTTCGACTTCAGTAATTTTTTCTATATTACGCTATAGACCAATATAGTTAAGTATATTATATTGGACTATTGGAGATATCGGATCATCCGGTGCGTCTACTACTTGTTACTTATCGTTTGTGTAATCAATGTAAAAATTATCGTTTGTGTAATCAATGTAAAAATTGCATAAATGCAGCGTATGTTTTTTTTTTAATAGTATGATCAATGTTAAAAGCTTAAATTTTGAACCTCAATATGTCGAGAGGCAAGCAATATAGATATATTGCGTACAAGAAGTTGCTCGAAATAGCTTATTCTATTTTAATTCTTTGCTAAATTAAAGTACCCGGGTAATCGAAATCACGCTTTTTTATTATTTTCTAATTCAAATTTCCTCCACGTCTTTATATTGTATCTATATATAAAAAACCATATCAGAAAATATATTTATAATAGTAGTCATTGTTGAAAAATTTTGTAGCATATGAGAGTCATGTTGACCGAACTTAAGTTTTCAGTATTTGAATGAACTATTTTGTAGGTCTTACTAATATTTACTCTTCTCTCCTCTCTTGAGTGAAAACTTTAGTAGAGTTAAGTAAAGTGTAGATAGATCTCGATTTTGCGAGTATAACCCTATTTAAAACCTGATTTTCTATAATTAAGTTTTCTGTTTACCGTCCACAGTGTTTTGGAATCAAAACTTGTTTGAGTTTGAGAAACTTTTCAATTTCTTGTTTTGGCCAGGTTAATTTGTTTAAGTTAGCAATGTCGGTTAGTGAATTCAGATTTAGTGTAAATGCATCTTGTTGTGGTTAAGCTTGTGTTGTGTAGTGCGGACTGTATTCGACTAGCCAAACAACAAAATGTACTTAAGCGGTTAAAGCCATACGCATAGCGAGAGAAAAAGAGTAGATATTAGAAAATCCATGCGGGAAAAGATACTTCTGAATGCAGCTATTTTTAGCAAATTAAGTGAGTGCGTTGTGCAATCCAAAATGTTTATTTAAATGTTTAAACTTTTCTAAACTTTAATCTTCACAATATCTCTAACCTGAAAATAATAATATTGAATATAATAAATACAATGAATAAATGCACAGATTAATGAATGTAAAATTTTAATTAAAATCTAATTAAAGCGTATTCGTGGCATTTCGTATACATTCAGGTTTGTGAAGTTATGAGTATTTTGCAAGATAGTAACTGTAGTTGTGAGCGATTAAACATGTTCATATAGAAGCAGTTATACTTATTCGTGAATCTAAATTGCGTTATATCTTTAGCATGCTATATGTGATGGATACAAGTAACGATATTCGACTGAACATGACCGAACGACGTCAAACTAAGCAAAGCTTGGGAGCAGTAGTTTAAAATGTTTCGTGCTGAAGCAAAAGATTAAAGTATTTTACATTCATTAAAAGCAAACAGAAAATTATAAAGTAAAACAAAAGATAAATTTACGGAAAGCGTTGGAAGTGGAAATAATGGCTTATGGTAAAGCAAGATTTTAGTATTGCAAATATAGTTTCCGTTTTTGTTTTTGTTGTTGTTGTTGCTGTTGTTGTTGTTGTTAATAATAATATTATGATATGCTATTATATCATCAATGGATAAACTGATCATATATGAACTGGTCTATGCTTTACTCACATTCGTCATATGCTAAACAATGACATAAACAATACTTTTTATGAATTGTATAAAAAAAAGTGAATAAAGAGATTCTATTAAAAACTATATATAATTTTCTCAATAATTAAAATTCAACATTAATACATTCTTTGTGTAATGAACAAAAGTTACTCTCTTAAGTCGTTATTGTTGTATTATAATAAAGTATCTTTCACAGTATCTGGCTTTAATAAACATTTACAGATACAATATTTCGTATTGTGGAGTTCATACATTTCTTACGTCAATTACGTCAATTTTATAATAAAAATATTATATACAATATATGTTTGTAAATTTTTATTAATCTCACATGGATCGTAAAATTCTACATACATATTGTATATACAAATTAATTTTAGATTTATTAAATCAACTGTCATAGATTGTTATTGTTCTATTATTATTTTTTAACAACTTCACTTGGCTTAAGACCACAAATTGAAGAAACACAAATAACAAAAAGTATTTCTTTTTTTGTAAAGAAATATTAAACCAAGAAGGAAAATAAAAACTTTAACAACCAATAAATCCGTTGAAGGTAAGCAACTTTTTAATGATTTCATTTATAGAAGAAAATTATAAATATTTTTTCTGAAATAATTTTTTATATATAAATACAATATATAGACATAGAGGAATTTTTAATTATAAAATAATAAAAAGGCGTGATTTCGATTACCCGGGTACGTTAATTTAGCAACGAATTAAAGTAGAATAAGTTATTTCGAGCAACTTCTTGTACGCAATATGTCTATATTGCTTGCATCTAGAGATATTGAGGTTCAAAGTTTTAAGCTAAAAGCTTTATTATACTAAGTTTGATTATACTATTAAAAAAAAACACGTTGTTTAGCGTCAACTAGCATATATGCAATTTTTACATTGATTACACAAACGATAAGTAACAAAATTTAGTTCTAAGTAGACGCACCGGATGATCCGTTTTCTCCATTAGTCCAATATAATATAATAAACTATATTAGCCTATAGCGTGATATGGAAAAAATTTTTGAAATCGGCCGTCTTTACTCATATCCGTTATATAAACAGAGTACCCGAGATATCAGAATTGTGCCAATGAGAGTTCTTTTTTTATATTATGCAGTCTCGTTTGCATAATATATATGCATAATATTATAATATAACTAGAAAAACTTTTTGCTTTGAGAAATCTCATTGCTTATACCTTTTATTATGAACTCATTCCGAACATTTTCTCTGCTGTAATCACAGCTTTTACGTACTTGTAATTTAATATGATAGCTGGACTAAGGTCCGGATTGATGTTGTTGAATATTCAAACTGTGCCATATTTGATTACGGAGTACTTGTTCAAATTATGATTTAAGGTCATTAAATACTTCATTATTTGCTCTGGACACAAATGTATCGGAGATAATATCTATTGGAAAAATCCTTAGTTTGGTGTTATAGTTTAAATATACTTTGGTTTTCTCATAGTCTTGAAATATTTTTGTGTTCCTAATAATTCAAAAATATATATCTTGTATATTTCTTATATTTGTTTTCCAAGTATTTATATGAAGAAGTCTATGTTGTTTTTCTGTGATTAAATTTAGGACTGAAATTCATAGGAACAATAAATACCAAAGTTAAATGTAAAACTCTTATAGACCTTGATCTGATTTAAATTCTTTACGTACTGAAATATGTAATAAGTTGTGTCTGTTGCAGTTTGTATTTTATTAAAAAATATTGAATCATTTTATATATTTTTTATTTGTATTCATAAAACGCATTTATTACCGGTGAAGAGAGGTGGGCGTATAAATGTGATACCAAAATAAGTCAACACTCTTCGGAGTGGCGTTTTGAATGTAAGTTCAACCCAAAAACCGTCAATGACGATCACAAATCATAGCTGCATTGACTATTTTCTATGGTTGTCATAGTATTATTTACTTGACACAAAATTTTTTTAGTGTCAATAAAGAATATTATTTAAGTGATAATTGATCAAATACATGTAATGTAATGGTTTATGGGTTAGGCTAAGCCTTTCTACACTGCGACCAGCTCGATCTATTAAATATTTAGACATTTAGTATCTCGAGGAATCGAACCAGCTCCATCGGAGGGAGTTTTTGAAGGTGTTCATCTTTTAGTTGATATGCACCTAATATTATGTTTCTTCTGTGGCCTAGTACATAACAGTTGGTGATCAGTTGTTCCATAAACTCTTCTTCATCACAGCAGAATCTGCAAATATTTGTGTCGAATACACCTATTTTGTGAAGGTGTTTATTGCAGGCGGCGTGGCCTGTTAGTGCACCAGTGAGTGACCTTAGACTGTTCTTGTTTAGGTTGACAACGATGTTTGCTCTTTTGGCATTGATCAAATACATATTAGCAATACATACCATAAATTAGAGTATAGAAACAGACTTGCTGATAACAGAATCTGAACATATTCATAAGATATATAAAATATTTATACAAAGATTTTCTAATTTTTTTAACATAATGTGACTTTTGTCCGTTTAGCTGTTGTTTTTTTAATTTTAGTTGAATTGGGAAATGCCAATACAGAATGGCATTGTCAATGCATGATCTTTGTACTTTACTAAACGATGTTGACTTCATTTATTTTTGTCAGGAAACATTTCTAAGAGCTTTTTAGGAGAATACAAGGAAATAAAAATTATAAACCTCAGTAAGAGAAATATTTGATTTCAAGCTACAAATGATCATTGCTGAGAAAATATAGAAATGATAAGCACTTTTCAAAGATCTGTAGGATAAGACGTATCATTTACGTAGTATAAGGATTTTAACTTTCCTTAAAAGTAAGAGCCTTTAACAAAGTTGTGTTTTACCGTCATTACCCCATCTAAAAATTATTTAAATGATTAGATTTCCCTAATAAAGGATTCTTGTATGCAATATTATATTAAGTTTTTTTACAATTAATTTCAATCGAATAATAAGATATGCATATCTTATGTAGTAAATTCAACAAAAATCATAGTAGTAGCTAATAGCATCGAAAATAATTAAGCCAAGTGGCGAAGATGAATACAAAGTGAATAAGTGAATAATTTCACTAAAATAGTATGAACAAATATGTATGCTACCAGACAGCACTAAAACTAAGTAATCAAACCTATATAACATCATTACTATGTTAAAATGTAGCCATAAAAATACGTTTAAATGTTTTTTTTAGGTGAAGTGTATTGTTTTGCATTTAGTTATGTTACTTTAGTTTTTACTGGATCAAATCAAACTTAAAAAGTACTCTAAGAACTGTTACAACAGAAGGTTGTAACAGTTTCGATTAATAACACCCATGAGCTGAGTATAAACTTTTGAGATATAAATCGATACAAAAATTTTATTTTTTCTGTTCTTCTTTTAGTATTTTATAATTGTTCCAAGCACTACTCTGAAAGGTCTACTTAGCACAACTACTGTTAGTAGATACTAAGAATAAAATAACAAATACTCTCGAGGTTTATTATTCAGCTAACATATTTACTTACTCTAGCAGTTCACTTTGCTATTTTAGGCCAATAGTCATTTTTAAACGTTTCCGAAGTACACATTAAAGCTTTGCAAAAAATACTTGAAAGTATTAAAAGAGAAAGTTTAATGCAAGTCAGAATTGTACTCTATAAAATAAATAAAATAGCAATGAAAGTATAACACAACACAATGGCAAGTAAATTTTTCAAAAATAAATAATTATTAGTCATAGTTTTTTTCTCTGTTTGTGTTTTTTTTTTTTTTTTGATAAGTGTTTTGTAAATAACGAACACAATATTAACGTTCTCAAACAGATCATAAAATTCTGGTTAGTGAAAATAGTATATAAAATAGTGATACGTATTCACTACACTTAGAGTTAGTAGGATGCTATCATGGTGTGGACATAAATTCAGTTTTATTATGGAATTTCTTCTTGTTGTGTGCTTAAAAAATCTTATTTAACAATTAACTTCAAGATTTTTTTCCTGTAATTTTATAGGTAGTTACAAAAAATACCTTTAAATTCTTGGCAAAGCCTAAAATGCTCTTTAAAGGGAGGTCCTGGAAGTAGCCAAAATCTTTAAAATAGTAGCCCATCAACAGCAATCGACTCTGACATGCTTCGGGCAGCAACAAAGCATATGCCACTTTCACAGAAATGATTAAACAGGAGATTGAATCTTCTAGCATGTCCAACTCACATACATATGAAACAACTCATTGATTCCTCTCACCTTGTAAGAAGTTGCTCAATACAGATATGCGATATGCGACAATGATACATTAGTCACCCATCCTGTTCATATTGATTCTGAATAAGATCTTAAGCAAAACTCTAAAGAATACAAGAGTTGTTTAGTGAGACTTATTCCATCACTACTAAGCTTTGGTTTTTACTTATGAAGTCGTTTCTCAAATCGCAGATATAATAAGTCACAAAACATGCTCAACCGTGAAAATGTGACTGTTCTAAAAACAATGATCGAAATAAATAAAGGCAAGACCAAAACCGTATTGCAAATGAGATATTTAACATGGTTGATTGGTTGCAGTGGCAACCAACATATTATAGATATTTATAAATTGATGATTGTGCAAAATCTTGAAAGTTTGAAAAATTGGCATTTGTATTGGGGACCCATTATTCAGACACACTAGAGCGTAAACGAAATTTAGATACACTAGTGGAACTAGATTGGGCATACCACTGGAGCAAACAAGTTTATTAATCCCAAGCTTGAACTTCCATCGCGCGAGGTGTAAATAATCCCGTGCACTGTCCATGTACTGAAAAAGGACGAATGATAAAATATCTCTTAAGCGCGCTATTCTTAGAACGATATACCTACACAGAAAAGAAATCAATAGAAAGAGATTTAAAAAAATCATTTGGAGCCTGTGATCTACTAAGGAAAATTGAAATATGAAGAAAAGTAAGAAGATTAACTTTGGTCGGGAAAAAGTGCTGTTTTTTGAATTTTCAAAATTGTTGCGGATTTTGTAAGTGGCGTTAGTTATCTATATATAAATGTACTGTGGCTACACAGACTAACTTATGGACTTCTAAGTTTAAATAAGAATATTGTATTAATATATAAGCTATCAATTAGTCTATAAGTTCATTAACCACTTGATCGTTAATTTATTTATCACGAACAAGATATGTTTATTTAATGTCTTACAGATTTCTACTGCAACAGCAAAAACAGAATCACATAACACAAACAATATCATTTTCTGTCAGTTAATGTTGATATTTGAATTGAGGCTCTATAAAAATCGTAGGAAGTAAACAATGTTAAAACTGGGCAGTTCTTTAAGATATCTGAAAGAACCACCTTCTCTCCGTTTCCACCTTGAGTTGAGCAGCCACAGAAAAAGTGTTCCGTTGTTTCTTCTTCTTCTATACAACTTCTGCAGTACTCAAGAGAGGGGATTTCTAGCCTGAGATTGAAAGAGCTCACAATTGGTTATACAAGTCATGACTTTGGAGATATTCTCTTTTAATGAGACTGAGCAAGTCCTTTGAATTTATTCTGTTAAATTTCG